TTTTTTTAAATGCTTCTAATTTTAAAAATGATTCTTCACAATGTTTTTGCGGGCAACAACTCATAAAAGTTTTATTGCAATCGGATGAATAACACGGGACAAACATACAAAACAAACATTTTTACGTATACACATTTAAGATAAATAGACAAGTAGATACGGCAACTTTATTTTCCTTTGTTAACCGACTTCAAAAAAGGAGGAAGTTCTCTATTCGACTGTATTTTGTTTTGTTTGTTTACTCCTCAGTACCTCAGTGGTCTCATTCAAACTTGAAGAAAATACTACCTTACGGGTGGGGAATTAGTGGATGATTCCAGTTTTTAATTACTCCTTACATTACTGCGTTCCGTATTTGAAGGGTAAAGGGTACTAGTGAAACTACAGGCATATGGAATTTTTGAACTTAATATGTCTCAGGGTGATAGGCGCAGAGAAAATGCAGCTCAGATCTTTGCGATTTAATTAAACCTCTGAGTGTCACTGCAGCTGTTATGGACTGGCTTGTAGCTTACCACCAGACGCGCGACTTGTTTGTAATCACTTAGTATCATAAAAATAATAATATCATACACTTTCAGATAATCGATTTCAACAAATCTTGCACACAGATGCAATTCCAATAAAAATAAAATGTTATGGTGACGTAGAGATAATATTGGAAGTGGCAGAGAGGGGAGTGAAACTGCTCATCAGTGTACAGCAGCTAGCTACTTTGCGTTTGGGCTCATATGATTCATATGCGTATAGGTTGATAATCATATGCGGATATGATTTTGAGGTTAGTGTAGCGGATTGTATCAATGGGTTAAGAGGGAGCATGCCAAAAATGTTTTGACGTTGGCTCCGCCCAAATTTGTGACACAAATATATGCCTGAAGTTCGCGTGACATGCGACAGGAGATGTTGAATTTTGCGCATTAAAAGTACCAAATTCGTTTTAGCGGAATAACTCTAAGACTAAAGGGATTTAAAAAAATCCGTAGTGACAATTGTCGGTCATGCATAAATATAATTAATTATCTAATTTTTGTCCAAATAACCTGTAGCATTTGGACATTGTAAGTCAATGCATTTGGAGGATAAATCGAAAAAATGTGAAAATTAGAGGTCATTTCGTGATTTTTATCTATCGAGGAATGTCTTTGCTTGAATATATCGTGTAGTTACTCATACAATATTTTATTTTTAACTTTAAAGTGGATATACTCCTCTAAACTCAAATCGAAGATTAGGAATTTTTCCTCTGCTCCCTTTTAAAGGGTGGGTGCTAACAACAAGTGAGCAAAGTCAAAACACGTAGCTATCAAAACAAAACAGCAAAACAAAAACTATCACATTTAAATTTATAATATAAAACTAAAACTTAAGAGATTTATAGCGACTGCTGCGATTCGCTACAGTTGGTTTTAAAAAAATAAATAAACATTTCCACTGTCGCTATAAATGCTTTGATATGAAAACTTTTTAATCTTTCTATTCGAATTTTAAATTTAAAATGTACTTCTCTAAGGCGCCTTTTTCGGGCATATTACGGTAATTTGCCATTGTTTTGGCCTGCGGTTGCCTACTTAATGTTGTAAATAAATAACATCTTGTAATAAACTCTCTAAGTAAATTTTCTCTGATCTTGGTTACTCATCAATCTGCTTTCATATAGTATGCTAAAAACTCAATTAAAATGTTGCATTATTAAAATCTAGTACACAACATTATTGCTACATAGACGTGACTTTGCACGGTACGGTTTTTATTCCTGAAAGCAAAAAAAATACAAAAATTAAAAGTTTTTATTAAAGCTAGAATTTTACGAGTATTCGACTAACAGCATTTGTGTTCAAATCGATACGAAATTAGAACTGAGGACCATTAAAAACATTACAGGGAATACATGTTGTAAATCAACACCTGGCTTTTAACACACGTACAAAATAATTCCGGTATCCCAAATTTTATTGACAGATATACCCGCGCCCATCTAATAGTCCAAATATAGAATTTCAAAGTACGGTCAGTGCGTGCGCCAGTGGTATTGATCTCACCACCTGCGACCACCACTCCCCATCGCCCCACTTCTTACCGTCTAGTCGGCCATCAACCCGCGCCACGAAACCACTTTTTTTTAAAAAACACTGGAAATTTATTAAAAGTGTACACTAAAAAAGACTTACAGGAGCTGTCAAAATAACGATTTTTTTAATGTTTCGAAAAACAAAAAACTAATGTCAAAATAATTGCGTCCCAAAATTGAATTCAACGGCCAAATTGCACAATTTTTTAAAGACACGTTTTGTTTTTTTTAACAGTGTTATTAACTTACAGTTTTTTAAGTGACAAAAAAGTGTAAGTGCGTAATAATTTGTAGGTGATTGTGAGGTGATTCATCCTATTAGCACTGTTAGTCAGTTGGACTGGCCTGGTTTGAGATATTATCTCAATTTACCGGCGTTGAATTTCATAATTGCGTTCTAGATAGCCACGGTATGTCGGGCAAAGTCGGTAAATTAGTTATAGTTTTTAACGGAAATTTTTGTTATTTTGTACGTATGGATACTCGTTTCTCTCTCTCGTATCCAAGAAGGATGATTTTTAGTGTTGAAACCTACGACAAATCATGAAATCAGTTCTCATTACAATAATTAATTATTGTTTTTTGTAGAAGCAACCGCATGCAACATTTGAAGTTACCCATTTAATGAACATACATTCCTGTAGTGTATGGGAGTAAGTCTAAAGTCGCATAGGACATAAAAAATAGATCTTCTGGTAGAGATAGCTAACATCTGACATTTTCAATTCATCGATTACAAGTCAGGTAAACAAAAGAGTCTCTATCGTAAATAAACTTTTCGGAATGGACATTTTTTTGCTTAAAATATATTTTATTTCCTCTGCGAGATTTCACTTAACGACTACAAGTATAACAATGTTTCCAAGAAAATCTCGAGCGCATGTTCGTATAAAAAACGGCCTCAATGCGATAAAATGTCCAAATTTTAACTCACGGCAATAAACACAATGGCCTCGCACAACAAAACATGTCAGTTGTTAAACCTGAATGCATTAATTAACGCGATATAACCATGAACATTAAATTTCTTAGCTCCAATTACCACAAAACTGAGGGGTAAACCGACATTTATGTAAATGGACGTAGATCGATAGAAAAGTCAAGCTATTTTTGTAGGTACATTCATAGTGGTCTTATAATTACTAGGTCACGAAATACTATTCCATTTTTTTGTTTTGTTTTGATATTTTACGGTCATGCATTTGGCGTTTAACATCTTAAGCAAAGTACAATGGAAAAAGCGCTACATACCCATTAAAATGTACTAAATATAATTACATGCCCCAAGCCAGTATGCCCTCAGTTTTGTATGAAATTTTTTCAAAAATACCCTATGGTCATATAGAATGTGTAGCGCTAAATGCGATATTTTCATTATAGTGTGTAATGGGCGTTTACGTGATCATGGGAACAATATATTGTGTGGGTCTGAAACCCAGAAACATATAATGTACATTTTGAAGTACACAGGGCCTTAAGAGATTATAATATACATTTCGTACGTTGGTATATAAAGCCACATGTAAAAAAAATAAAAATGAAATCGCCAATATTTGATACGCAATATACATAAATTAAAAAAGAAATAAAAATATATTCAAATTAAAATAATAAAAGCATGTAAAAATGGCCTATGTCTCAGCATCGATTCTGAGGACTATATAATTACATAGTCCTCGCTGTTATTCTGCCATAGCCCGTCATAAATTGGAACACCATAAATCAAATAAGTATATATTTCAAATTCAAATTCAAAATAATCTTTATTTCATAGGTAAGCATTATTACACTTGAAATCGTCACAATGGTTAAACTCTACCGCTCATTCGTAAGGCAGATTCCCCTGAGAAGAATGAGCAAGAAACTCTAGGGGTTGCTCTTTGTAAATAACATTTACAATATTTTTTTTTTATTTGAAACATCAGAGATCGAGACTACCTCCAAGAGCTAAACGGGTTACTACCACGGATTTTTGTCATCCAAGTACGCAGAAATTTTTGTTTCATTATAGTTTTAAACCTCGTGAAAGGCAAATTTTGTATATCAACCGGAATCTTGTTATAGAAGCGTATACATTGCCCCTTAAATGATTTTTTGACTTTGTGAAAACGACTATCAAGAAAAGCTAGTTTATTTTTATTCCTCGTATTAATGTTATGTCTGTCACTATTTTTCATAAATAAATTACTATTCCTTTTAACATAAATTACATTTTCATAAATGTACTGTGAGGCTAGTGTAAGAATGTTAATTTCCTTAAACTTATCTCTCAAAGATACTTTGGGGCCCAGATTGTAAATTGCCCTAACTGCACGTTTCTGCAGGACAAAGATTCTATTGATATCGGCGGCATTACCCCAAAGCAAACCATTTAATTATAAAAAATCAAACTCAAATAATTGTAGACAATTAGACACTAAATAAATAAAATTTGACACAAACAACAATTACATAAAGAAGATAATCAATTTGAGTAATAAATAATTTAAATTGCACAATACCAAACATAAGTCACAAGTGCTTTCATCAAATGAAAGTCTTTCAGTTCTTGTAGTTGTCGTTTTGTGACAAGGGTGACACCAAAGATGCCACTTGTAGGACCTAAATGTTATGTTATGTGACAGCTGTTTAAAACCTAAGGATTAGTTTTTGAGTGCATCAGAAAATAATCAAAGTCCGTTACGTTAATGGTCTCTTTTTTTTTTCAATTTATTCTAAGTAGCTACTTTCTACATAGTAATCCGCTAGCTATGCAAAAGGAAACTATTATCAACCGGCTATCAGATGCAAATCACGCCAGTTGAAATCCCCCCAAGAGAGAGAAAAGGACAAAAGATATCTCTACCTCTATTGGCACACAAACGCAACCAAGCGTGCCGTCTGATTTTTCTTACCCATCAGCTGATTTAGTCATTTTCACGAACCGGCCAGAGCAACAAGCTAACTAGTAAAGAAAAATACATGAATTTGAATGTCTTTAACGTGACAAGGAATTATAATCGGTAACTAACGAACGACGCTAGAGCGTAGAAGCGACAATTAAGTTTTTATGTGCTTTTCTAAACTCTCGAGACGAAACGAAACTATTTTTCGGAATTCTTTAATCATTACTTTGTGCAACCGTGCGCATTCTTTTTTCGATTTGATATTTTTTTGTGACGTATATTGCGATTTTTCTCGACAGTGTGACGTATTTTATTTTCGAAACGAGTTTTTTTTTTAATAGTGTTGTAACAAATTTTGTATTGTACAAAAGTTTTTATTCGAATGATATAAGAAGTGAAATGGTGTCGTGACTGTTTCTTTCTTGCGATGGAAAGAAGTGTTTTGGCGGACACGAGACACGTTCACTGGGCTTCCGAAGTGAGTATACTGATATTTTGTTATCTAGTTATACGAATTCATTTAATGTACCCATTTGTAACAGGAAAGAAAAATCAAAAGCGTTCCAAAGTGTGGATTGAAAGACATTCAAAAAGTAAAATATGAATGAAGTTTGGAAATAATTTGATCTATATTTTAGATCAAATTCATTGGTATTTTTACAGCTGGCCATTTTATACATTATGTAGGTTCGTATATAGCATCTCTTTGTCGAATCTCCATTACTTAAAATAAATGGCTGTTTATGTGTCCTAGATTCCAGATCCGTTATAAAAATTACTAGGCTGAATGTACATCGACCTTTGCCCTTGCGTGAGAAAACAAAGCGGGAAATAGTGGTGTGACTTTCAGTCGTTAATTTAATTGACTTTTTTAATTTATTTACGACCTTGTGTTACCAATTTTTGGTAATTTTACTCAATTGTTCCATTTTCACGTTTCTTATAGGGATTAAAATATAGCTCTACACTTAGAATAATAACGCATAGAAACCTAGTCCGCACACGCTAAGTGAGGCAAATTGAAGCGCTCCCTATGGGCCTACACGAGCGGCGGGCCTTCAGTGCTCAAGGTCAACTTGCATCGCGAACAGATCAAGAATTTTAGCTAAAAATGACGAAATGTGCGGTAAATGAGTGTAAAAATACGTCAGACAACATAAAATAGATACTAACATCACATTCCACAAGGAAGTAACGCGTTTCAACTTGTATTTTTATATAAATATTCACTAAAACCGAAAATTAACCTACTACTAAAACTAGCCTACATGAATTTGATTTTTGCCTCACTTGTGACAGTTCGTTTGATAAAACTATCATTCTATGCGTTATTATTCTAAGGCTCTACATATCTGCCAGTCAAAATTCCCTGAATAACTCTATCCTATTTTTTTTAATACTAATATTTTAACCTACTTCAGAAAAGGAGGAGGTTCCCAATTTGACGGTACTTTTTTCTTTTGTTTTGTGTGTATTGTACGCGATTGCTTTGTACATTTGTGGTACAATTCAAATTTGAAGAAAAAATTCCAGCTCTAAAGATGGCAAATTAAGAGATGAATCCGGTTTGTTGGATTTCAACATTTCCATTAATCGATTTCAATAAAACTTCACAAATAGATGTGACTAACACGGATAATCAAACTTTTGAAGTTTTATGAACTAGTCCTGCATCTGTTGGCAAGCGACATATCTGAGAGGCACTGCCGCTCCGTCCATCACCCTGAGACAAGTCTCATGTGCCTGTAGTTTTACCAGCACCCCTTACTCTTGAAAACCGCAACGCAGTAATTCTCACATTACCGCTTGGCGGTAGAAACAGGTAAGGTGGCCGTTGTAGTCTGTAATTTTTGAAGACGGATGTAAAATTACATTTGCCTCATTACAAATCCGTAGCAAGTGAACCAACGTAATATTTGAATCCCCTGTATGATTCGATTACATGATAACATGACCCAAATCGACGTACGAGTACGTGATCGAATATAATACGAGTATTCCTTTCATACCATATTAAAGATCAAACAGTAACAATATTGGTGTTTTATCCAAGCCGGACCTTTTGGTGAAAATAAAAAATATGGTCATGATCTCAAAACATTTTTTCCATCCTTTGTAAAACTTAGATGATGCAAGCAAAACATAGATCTACAATGTCAAAAACAAATAGAACTCCACGACGGAAATATTTTCGTCTAAACGTAGGAAGAAAGTGACATTCTCGCCTACCTATTTAAGCTGTTCCGGTTCTCGTGATAAATCGGCGGTACACCCTAGACGCAAATCGATTGCGTCTTCGTTTTTGCTAATAACGGTCTTTGTAATGTGTAGGTACAAATCGGGTTCAATAGTGTCAAAACTTCTAATGTAACCTTTATTTCATGAAATTTAAAGTTAAAGTTACTTAATTCATGCAAAGTTATATCCTAAATATAGATGTAAAAACACTGTAGTTTTCTAGACTGCTGAAGAGATTAACTTACCTATTTCTGCCGCTAAGCAGTAAAGTGAGCATTACTGCGTTCCGGTTTTCAAGGTACTGGTGAAATTACAGGCACATGGAACTTGTCAACATATGTCTCAGCCCCTTAGATTTTTGTGATTTCAAACTTTGAGTGGCACTACAACTGTTATGGACAGGCGTGTCGCTTCCCGCCAGGCGCACGACTTGTTCGTCCCGTCTCTTCGTACCCCAAGCCATTGTTTTAACGAAGTAAATGACTTCGATTTCGTTTTTAAAGAGTTTTTTGATATAATTACGGTAAAGCCTTTTATTAAAATTCGAAATTAATATAGACATTATGGTCACCTTATTTTTCATGTTAAAATCTTTTTCAAAAGTTACAGTTAGACCTTAATGGGCTGGAAAAAACTAGGACAAAGCTTTTAGGATGGAAAAAAGGAAAAAGTCATGATGAAGATAATAAAAAAAAGAGTTTAATAAAAACGTTTACTTAACCAGACTAGATCTAGATCAGAGTCGTTAACTCATTACTAAAGATGAAGCTGTATGTTCTTTGACCCTAGCCTGACCTGTTTGGACAAACATTTT